AGATTTAAATATTCAAAGCAGACGCCGGTGGATGACTGACATCCAGCCTTCTCCCTTCACTAAGACCTGAACAGACAACACATGTCAGGGCTGATGGCAAACTGTTGTCTTACCCCCTCAACCAATAAAGCCGGTCTCTCCTGACTGTCTTCTCCAATCCTCTGTCCTATTTTCTATCCACTCTAATGCAACGGCTGTCTGGTCTAATCTGCCTGGCTGGTCTGTCTGTCATCGTCTTACTCAGTCCAACACCTGGACCTGATGCTTCCTGCCACATAAACTCTTCTCATTTTCATTCTATTTTTTTAATTCATTTCTATACTAAATTGATTTGAGAAAAACAATTATATTAATGTGCCTATGGGGCCATTAAAAAAAAATTGAATAATACACCCGTAATACTGGTGGCACACTGCCCTCTGTTGGTAGGTGGTAAAAACCAGTGAGGGGAGGGGTAGGATCAGCTCACACTCACAAAGTATTGTACATCATTATCTGTAGATAAAGTATCACAGCGGGACAGAAGACATTTTTTACTTTTCAATTTTCACACAAGAATGTATACATTCTGCTGCGGTACTCTTAGATATAAATGGTTCCGTACATTTCTTGACACTCAGTGCTACTATATTACATATTTACTTTTAGTGTATTATCTAGATCTGTCAAAATAAATGTGAAAAGCTTAGGGTAATGGTTAATCTCATAATTAATTAATTAATTATGTACATATTAACTATGGTCATTAGTTGATAGCGATCCCGTGAAATTGATCATCGTTTGACAAATATTATGGATTGTTATTGGTACAAACATTCTCATAACATGAATTATTAAATTACAAATAATAATTGTTAATTATTAAAGTTAATTATGTTGATAGTAATACTATCATCTTGACATGACCACCACATACACTCCTAGTGATAATGCTACTGGATCATTAGTTGTACCCATCTGTGCATTAAGTTGGGTTAGTGCACATTTTAAAGTGAAAAAAATGAAATGACAAAAAATCTTTAATAAATAAATATTAATTTTATGTCTAATGTATAATATATTTCTTTACTAATTGTAGATTTATGAAACGTGGTTTTTTTTTTCTTTACAAACCCTGATGAATAATGTAGTTAACAATTCAGGTTCCACCTAATTCAAGTGACATTTAATAAATACACCTTATATCTTTTTTAGACACATTTTTGTTCATTTTGTCGAATGATATATTAAAGTCATTATGAACATGATAACTTCTAAGCATCATTCCGACATCATTCCATGCAGCCTTTTGTTGTATTACTAAATGACCTTTTGACCTAAGATGTTTCCTATTTTCACCTTAAACAGTTAATAATAATAATTCATAGATCATAAAATATGAACAACGTGTGGTATTGTATCTTAAACTTTTACATTTCTTCTTTCTTTTTTTTTTATTTAACCTCCGTTATTACCAATAATGTTCCATTACGTAAAAAAAAAACCTGGTCTCCGGCAGCATGCAGTCACTCTGAAGTGTTTGTGGTCCTTGTAATTTTCTGCAGCGTTGAACAACATTAATATTAATGTGCTCTAATATTTCATTCGGTCGGCGTGCAGCCTGCCGGAGTGCAAGGTGTGTTGACGTTTTTGTGTTTGGGCCGCGGCCAACCTGCGGTGTCATATCTGAGCATCAATCAGGAAGAGCTTCATCTCATCTGTAAATACTCATCCCACTGATGCAGCGCTTCAGAGAATTAATGAGCCAGCAGCTGTATGTGCCCATGCATGTGGAGGAGGGGGTGGGAGGGGCCGGGGATTCCTTTCCCTTTATTCCTTCCCCTTCTCCCTTCTCCCTCACCCCAAATCATGTTAGGCCAACTAATCTCATTTCCAGAATGCCATTTGTTAATTTGGCCCCCGTTAGTCTCTGTAATGGCTCATGCTTTGGTCTGTATGTCAAGTCGTGAACCCGAGCAATGGAGTGTTGTATAAGAGAGGGACAAACAGGGACAAAGTTTTCATCTTCAAAGATATCATGTAACCGTCCATTTGATTCATATAAAAACGCCGTATTTGAACTTACAGAACAAGGCCTTGATGAGGACTTAGTCATGCAGTCTTTGGATGATTACAGTAAACAAGACATAGACACATACTTCCACGGACCCTTCCCCAACTCCCCTCTCTGCCTCTGTCCTTTGTACATCTGGTTTATTCGAAATTCCAGGATCGAATATTAAAAAAAAGACAACTACAGCCTCTCTGATCTGATATCTAAGCCCAAAGTTCAAGTTCAACTAAACTTTGCAAGACATGCCGTAATCAGGGACACTATCACCTCAGCAACAGCAGCCCTCAGCGTGATGGAGGAGAAGAGAAGGAATAGGAGTGATATCAGTATCTGACAGGAAAAGGTTGCACAGACCAACAGAGAAATTATACTTCCACAGTAAAAAGAATCAGGACTCAAGAGGAACATTTGTGGCCAAGGAAACAGGAAACAGAGAAGAAAGAAGTAAAAACAGAGGGAGACCTGGAACAGACATGGCCAACCTGCGGCTCGGGAGCCACACGCGGCTCTTTGCCTGGTTTATGCAGCTCTTACGTTCATGCCGAATTTTATGTTTTTTTTTTTTTTTATGCTATGTAGATCTTGTTCCAGTGGTCGTAGATGCAAATTTGCACGGATGATGATGTACACAGGAAAGTGTTAAAAGAGCAGGAGAGTTGTATTTAGTTATTGTAAAGGGATGGGGCCGTTCATGTGTGCCCATGTAGATCATGTGGCTCTTTGCAGTAACACAGTAAGAATTGTGGCTCCTAGCCTCTTGACTGGTTGGTCACTCCTGGTCTAGGAGAACACATGAAAAAAAAAGAAGAAGCAAATGATAAAATAGATAAATTCCAAAAGAACAAACTGTAAAAGGAGAAGCAAAAGGAGTCACGGCAGAGAAACACATGAAAAAAAAGAAGAAGCAAATGATAAAATAGATAAATTCCAAAAGAACAAACTGTAGAAGAAGAAGCAAAAGGAGTCACGGCAGAAAAGGAGAGGAAGTACAACAAATACACAGAGGAAGTAGAACAACAAGCAGAAGAGGCAGAACATGAAGAAGGAGAATCTTCATTTTCATCATAAACATATTCATCTGCCAAATGTAGCCTCTGCATGAAAGAGGAGCAGTGGTTGATAATTGGCGTTGCTCGGGAAACAGGCGAGATTTTCAGTGATTACTCAACACATCGCAGCTCTGCCCAAACTGCCACGGTGTTCTTTGAGCCTAATTTTATTTTAGATGGACTCAGGGATGGTGTATACAGACTGTGGAGTCAGGGGAGATGACCTTTACAAAAGCAAAACTTTATAAAAAACAAAAAAACAAAAAAAAAAAACAAAAAAAAAAAACAAAAAAAAAAAAACAAAAAAAAAAAAAAAAAAACAAAAAAAAAAAACAAAAAAAAAAAAAACAAAAAAAAAAAACAAAAAAAAAAAAACAAAAAAAAAAAAAAAAAAAACAAAAAAAAAAAACAAAAAAAAAAAAAACAAAAAAAAAAACAGTGAGATAAGGATAAAGATAGGACAGAGAGGAAGTATGGGAGTCCGTCATCTGTGTTGAATCTGCATCAGTCTGCTGTAATTACCAGGCTGTGGCTGAGGTGGCGACTGGGAAACAGGAGGGCAGAGGACAATCAGCGTTCTGCTCCTAGATATTGTCAGGGTTTTACTCACAGCCGTTATCTGGGCTCGTCGGGAGCAGCGGCCAACGTCAGGCCAGTTATTACTGAACCTGCCTGAACCAGATCAAAGTGGACTGGTGAAACAAGGAAAGATGAAATGACTGCACTCTTCTAAAGGCTGCTGCATGCTTTATCATGTCATTATCCTCCCGTCAAAGTTGCGATTTTTTTTGTCTCCGTCTCTGATGAGTCTCTCACACCACGGCGATGGGCACAGTCTCCAATTATTTTTGATGTAGGGAGAAATTCACCACTATTTCTGTTTTACTGATGTTACAGTTCCTTTTCACCTTTCTCTCATGTTAGTGCTTTCCTTTTTTTCTTCTTTTTTTTCACTGCACCATTTGTACCGAAGCTTTTTAAAACTTGGAGCAATTTGTCATGGCAAACAGCAGAAAAGAATCACTGCAAGAGGCGGGGGGCAGACTTTAGAGGTAACTTCATCAGTTAGAGGTGGGAGAGAAATGTGAGGTGAAGTCATTGTTCCCACAGAATAAATATCACATTTATACTCTGTCTAAGTTAAGGCTGTGATTTTTGTTCAGATTATTTTTCCGATCCTAGAAGCATTCCATTCAGCTTCACTCTATGTTCAGGTTTTACCAATGTAAATAACTAATTAGTCTATTGCTTTTTAACTGCAGCTGTGTCCATGCATCGTGCTGCCGTTACAGCTATTGTTTCATTGCATTGAATGTTTACACCAGGGGACGTCAAACTCAATCACTCAACTGCCCGAAAATTAAAACCCACTTACGTTGGGAGGCTGAACAGGATCAACAGTTATTAACAAGTCAATAGAGATTCATTTAAAACAAACACATGCATGTTAAGCTCTGCAGTGGACAGATAAAATGAGGTGGCGGGCAGGGTTCGGTCCACAGGCCTTGAGTTTGACATTGGTGGTTTATCCTCAAGGATACTATCAGGATACTATCATTTTAATAAGGAGTTTGGATGTCTTTCAGGGAAGGCTTCACAAACACACATGCCGCTTTACCAATAAAACATTAGCTTTTAGCATGACCCAGCGATATTATGGTTTGAAACCATGCGTCATAACTATGTCGTTGTCGTCACGTCAAATGTTTCAAAGCCATTGCTAGCCACTAGCTGACCCCAAAACGAGGCCCACTTCACCAGTTTTCATTTAAAGACAGAGCTGTACAGAGGGTTTTTGAAATATTTTCTGATGCCTTTCCTTGAGATTGTGATGACGTATAACAAACCAGGCTAAGACAACAAAATGACTTTTCATCACATCCCTCCCTGTGTTTCAGGGTCAGGCTCAAAGAGGGCGTGACCTTCCTGGGAGCCAGAGCCAGCAACCCTGTCGGTTGGTCGGTGAGCCAGGACGTCAGGAGTGATGGTCACAGAATCGTCACCCTCCACTGTCGGCGCAAGGAGAACGGTTTCAGTCAAAGGTTTGTGTGACTTCCTTCTGTGCAGAGTAATGAGTAAACAGTACAGTCTGCTGAACATCCAGATATGGGTAGTACAGACGGGGAGTCCGCCGAGAGCCAGAAACAAACAGTGAGGAGGGAAGTGGAATTGGCTTGGCATCTGACCCGTCCACTCCTCGGTTACTGTCTGGTCATTCCCCAGAGTTGTACATATAATGGAGTGTTCAGTACACAGTGTCAGTAAAGATTTCCACTGTTTTGCTAAAATACTTCATGGACTCACTGTAGAGTGCACAAGGTGACCTCTTCTGTATTACACTCACCACGAGCAAGCAGTACAAGGTACAAAGTAGAACTTCTTACTGCTGCAAATACTGGGGATCGACCACTACTGAGGACACCAATTCAGTTGGTGCCAGGTTCAACCGTGCTGCCCAGGTCTGTTTCTCCAAGGTGGAAAGAAAAGGAACGTCTTCAAATATGTCAGTCAATTTTCAAAGACCAAAACATCTGTCTATATAGTTTTAGATTTCTTTAAGAGTTTACTGGAAAAGCCACTAGGTGGCAGTGTTTTATGGCAATCATGAGCTGCTATTTAAACCAACAATCTCAGTTGGAACTGTAAAAAGGCATCAGCATACCGTTATTTATACTTATTTGTACAAGTAGTATTTGGATGATCCATATTCAGTATTGATGGTACACAGAAACACATCACTGGGTACTTGCCACTGTATTACAGTACAGTGGTCTTACTGTCGCCTCACTTCATGGATAGAGGGCAGTATAACAGCGTTTACAGCACCTCCTGCAGGAGAGTGGAAGCAGCTGAATACCAGTTTCACATCATGAAAATCTCTCTGGATTCTGAATCACCTTCCAAAACTTTACAAATTATCATGACTCCACTCTTTGTTTAGAGATGTTGAATATGCAACGACCTTGATCAATTGAAAAAAAGAGAAAGAAAAATAACAGTGACAATGAGGTCTGCCAACAACAAATATGAAATTTGTTCTTGCGTAAACTTATCTTTTTTTACTTTTATTTGTTTTGGTTTTTTTTTACCAAATTCTTTGTGACTAAAGAAAAAATAACAAGATAAAAACGTGTGATTTTAAGGCAGCTGAACACTCATGTTCAGGTGATTGATGGCCAAAAAATGACATATTCTCAAATGAATAATATCTGTGTGTAGTGTGTGTGCATGTGTGTGTGTCTGTGAGCAGACTGTAATTGTCATTCAAATCTCCGGCTTTAAGGCAAAGGCAAAACAGCCGTATACAGGAAATGACACAAACTGGCCGGGCTGTGATTTCCTCCCCAGGATGTCAAGGTGATGACAGTGATGAATGACGAGTCATCCATCATTTACATGCATCTCTTTCGTGGCCCTGCTGAGGGGAGAAGAATTTGAATTACACAGGACTGCCCAAACCAAGGTCACCCGTGTCGAGCCACTGATTCTGTGGCCAACAAAAGACTGCCTTGAAGCGTGGAAGCTCTAATACCACACCTGCTGCGACCCCCTGCCTTTGGATTTCTCCCAATTTTAGCTACTAGTTGATGCTTTTGATATACAAAGTGAAACAAATTTGGCATTCTGCACCTTAACGTGTCAGGGGGAATTTGTCGTCTGAAACTAATTTCAGAAAAGAAAGAGCTCTTTTGATTTGTGGAAACCTGCTTCGTCCAATGAGACCAAAAGATTGATGCACCAGATTGAATGGTATGAAAATCTAGGTTTACGTGCATGGTGCAATTGTAAAACTGGTTCTGAAGCCCTGAATAGTAATTTCCTAAATGACTTAATGCTTTTATCACTCCGCTACCTGAAAGAAAAATGACTTTTTTCCCCATATTTTCTTAAGTGAGTCTCTGCTTGGAGAGTCATTTAATCTTTCTGCTGTCCCATTTGTAGACGGAGCGTCAGTCAGACTAAGTGCCTAAAGATCTCCCGTAAGTGGGATAGATGGAAATCTATGAAGATGGAAGTCAAGAATTATCTCTGAATTTCACTGAAGCAGGATTTGTCATCCGTTAAAACTATGTGACTGTCAAAGCCTGATGGTTCCACGGCACAGAGCAGCGTAACAGGAACACAGCTTCCTGTGCGGACAGTAGTGAGCTAATCATTCATTTGACTTGTAATTGTCAAATATAACACAGTCTCAGTGTTGACCAGACCAGATTCTAGTTAAATGAACCCTTGCTGTAGAGTCTGCATTAGGGCATTGATGACTTCTGATTTTCTCACGTCGACTAATCTGACAGTGAAGTCCAAGAGTGATTTAAGGACATCACATGGACAGAGGAGGAAATGCAGGCATTCCAGGCAATGACCATGTAACTCTCTTTCCACTACTTCTGCAGCCTTTGTTAATGGAAAGAATACAGCATTCGCAAATACCATGTATGTGGCTTCATTTTCCATTTACATTCCAAGTGCACTTGCACTGGTGTCACAGTGGCAGATTTTTCTGCTTTTGAAAAGGAGCTCCTCTGCAGAGGGTGAAAAACATCTGTGTTTAACAAACAGAGCGAGCGTTTCACCTTCATGCCAATCCATCTTTCTATGTTCACTTTCTCTAACTGTAATCACAGACACCGTGGTAACCTTCAGTCAGAGTAGAGAAATTAGAAACAATAATACAAGAAAGCAGAAATGGATCAGTAAAAGGAATCGTACAGTTCAATCTGAATATCTGACTAGATTTTTTTTTTTGCCAACCCACATTTATTAAAAAAAAACATTAAACAGTACCACAGATTCCGTTTTATTTTTTTTTAGACCAATGCATTTATGCATTTTTTTTTTCAAAAACTTCACATTGCCATCTACCAAAAATGTATTAAGAAAGTCTTGTCCATCATTTCCAAAAAAAACAAACAAAAAAACTCACCAACTATTTTTCATGGGAACTAGATTGCGAGCAAAGCAGACAGATGACATGCAGCCCTATACACAGAAGACAGATTTGTTTTTATTCTGGTTGTAGGCCATACATTGGACTGTACTACATTGTTTTTGTGGGGGGAAACGTTTGCCCTTCATTGTGGCTCCCAGGTTTAAGTCAGACTCTTCTGATGTTTTTAAGTCCTATTTTATGATGTTACCACTGTGTTAGCGTAGGTGAGCAACAAAAAAACAAGTCACATTGCGCCATAGGATTAGAACTCCAATGGAGGTCGAGGATCTCCTATACATGATTATAATTCTGGTGATTCTAAACATACGGTAACAGGCCCCAGTTTGGTACCAAGCCTAAGCAACACATCATATCATTATGCAAAGATGATAGGGACTGCACATATTGTTTGGATGATGTGCATGTTTTAAAGGTTGTCGTTGTCTACACGGTGCACTGAAGAACATAACGTCTACTCATGTGGACAATAATAATTACAGGACGGTCCTGAAAAAGATTTAAAATCACATCATAAAACGTAGTTGTATCTGGTTCCACCGTCTTTACTTAGCATATTTAAATACAGATACACAGTGCAGTGAACACAGTCCCCAGGCGGTTGTAAGTCTGACTGATGTCGGACCAGGAGACACTGTGGTCATGACGACAATGCTCTCTTATGAAGATAAAGTGCTACATTCAAATGGTGTCCTTCACCAGCGAGACCTCGTCTCTCCGTGTCCTTGCAGCACTGTGTCACCCGGAGAGGATGGTTCCTACCATTACACTAATTCACCCTCCTTCTGCTGAGAGATCAACAGAGCGCCAACTTCCCATCAGCCCTTTGCTTTAATTAAACACTGGGAATGCTGGATTTTCTTTTTCCAATACACAAAATAGTGACATTCCGAAAGATTAAAAAAAAAAAAAAAAAAAAAAAGCAAGTCAGGTTCTTCAGCAGCTCCCGGCATCTGTTTAATGAAACCTAATGAAGTTTGGGTTCAAAGCTGGATTGGGGGGATGAGCTGAACGCACGAGTCGGTGTCAGTCAGAATCCCGTCCAAGAGCTGCCACCAGAGTTCGATTTGCAGGAGGTGAGGCGTGGCATCGAACAAGTAATTCATGTAAATGGAATTTAATGGAAGACGCTTCCTCATCAGGACTAAAGGAACATGCACGCGGAGGATTGTGCTGACTCCAGTGAAGCCGTAAAATTTATGACAGATTTACACCGTCATTGATGGTTTTATTGGTTCAAATTATTTTTCAATCCAACCAGTCAAGGCGGGCGACTGCATGGAGAAAACAATAATGACATTGCCATGCTGGAAACCAAAAGGTGCTTAGAGCGCTGTGCTTTACTGAAGACTTGGAGCTGGACTTTGAACTGGGATTTCTACGATGGCATAGTTTTAATTGAGACAAAAATTGTTTATTTTTGTTTGAATTCAGTGGTGCAGTAAAATGCAGAAAAAGTCAGAAAAGTGAGTATGCCCTGGAAAAAGACCATAGTGCTGATCTACTAATATAAAGGGAAAGTAAAACAAATATTAGGCCGGTGTTTTTACTCTTTATTCAGTTCATATTTTTCCGATATTGTGAAATGTTTTTTTGTTATAAAGACATTCATTACAGACACTCATGTCCTTTCAACATCTACATATTTTAGCCGACTTAATCTAATAAAGAAATTACTTTTTAATTAAAGCAATTAAAATATTTACTCGGATTAATCACAGGGTAGATGTGGATTCATCAAGGTAACATAATTCACTGTGATCCTCATTAATCATGATGAATTACAATCACAATTAACTATGATCAATTAATTGTGATGAATCACGATCATAAATAATCATGATGTAGATGTTTGTGCTTTTATTAGTGACCAAGCCAAATAATGGAATTATCAATATGGAAAAATGTCAACGTTTTGATACAACTTTCCATAAAGTCGGTGGATTTAAGTCATATTCTGTGCATGTCAATAGCAGCGATGCTTTAAAAAATTAAAATCTCTCCACCCAAACTATATTTATCAGTCCACAATCCGTCTTTATTCATTTGTTGTCAGTCAGCCTGTCAGACGTAGACAAACTCACTGCCCTGTGA